GTTGTTTCCTTATGAAGATTTACACTATTTTACACATTGCACATTTAAGCACAGAAGCCTGAAAGACTTTCTTGACTGTTGTCATGTCATAAGATTACTGATCTCATGTGTGACTTATTTATTTTTCTTTATTATTTTTTTAAAAAGTGTAAAATGTTGGTTGCATTTGTGAGTTAATAAAAATGTAGATGGATGTTTAAAATAGGTACATAATATCGATAAATCAATCAATATACAATTTAATGAGAGAAGATAAGAGCAAAACAGCATAATGAACATTTATTTTCGTACAATATTAAATAAAAATCACTCTGAAGCATAACATCAAAATGTTTTCTGAAACAGAGAGGTCTAGTCAAATCATTTATGCAACCTATGTCATTTATCAAATGATAGAATTATTTAATGTCATGGTATTGGTATGACATGATATACTACTACATCCAAGGATGTAAATGAATATTGGAATTGATATTCAGTTCATATCATAAGAGCTCTATTGAGAAGATTGGAGAGCAGATGAGGTCAGTGTGTCACGGCTAAAGAAATTGGCTCGCTGCCTCTTTCAGATGTCCCCCATTCAGCAGTATGGGTAATTTACATTTACATTTAGACATTACTGTAGGTAAATTATTGCTATTTAACAGCTGTAACCTTATATTCTCCCCCACTCTAAAAAATTGTGTAAAATTGTGTAGCAAAGAACTGTGATTTCACATACAGTAAATTGCATTATTTTCTTTACTTGTTTATGTCTTTCCTGCAATTAAAATGATATATTCAGTTATATGGGCCCTGATCACCACTGGAGAATTAATGCTTCATTAATTAAAGGTTTATATGATACTATGATACATTTAAAAACCTAAATCAAACTTTTTTCCATATTTCTGCAACACTTTATTTTATTTTTATATAAAAACCTAAACTAAAAAAAAAGAAAAATATTATGATATTTTCAGGCCTACCAGGCAGGTGTTATCACAATATTTGCACAACATTTTATTTTGGTTGTATAAAATTTTAGTGTTTGCAAATACATACATTTTCTCAAAGTTGTAGTGTGGTCTTTTTTTTTTGTGATAATTTAAATATATAAAGTACATGTCATGTCTAGGCTGCACTTGTTTCTTGACCTTAAATGTTTTCGTACATAACCTAACTCAGGCCCGGATTGGCTAATCGGGAGCACCAGGAAAATTCCCGGTGGGCCGGTGTGTTTTTTGGCCGCGAGGGCCGGTACTGTCATGCCACTGCTATGGGGTTGAAATATGGATGCCCGTATTTAAG